CCATTTGGATATAGCAAAATCTGAAAAAATTCTATTATCAATCTTATCTTTGTGAGTCTAAAGTTTCATAACTAATTTACCTTTTTTTTCATAACTAAGAAAAACGTTGTGTCTAATTATTTACTCTTTAACTCTATCAAAGACCCCAGTAGAGTGAAATATTAACTAACAACAGGGACGTCAAGCTTCCTGGACAGTCATCCTAGGTTCTTCCATAATGCTGGGGAATCCAACTTTACCCTACAGACCTTGTATATCTAACAGACATTTCTGAGAAGCAAGGAATTTTTTATTGTTTTTATTGAACTGTATATTTTTCTCTACTCTCCTTCTTAATTTATTAAAAGTCCATACTAATGTAAAATATTTTGAGATTAATAGATATTTTTAGGACTGAAATAGATTCAATAATCTACCCTTTTTTCTACCCTCTCCCATGGTCCCTATGCTCCCAATTTACTTAGGAGATCTTGCCTTTTTCTACTTCCCATGAAGATTAGATCCATGTATGTCTCTTTTAGGGTCCTCGCTATTGTCAAGTGTAGGGAGCCTCCAGGATGTCACCTTGGCGAGACAGTCCTACAGCCTGGAGGTATACATATCCTTTGATGTTGCCGCCTTAGGCCGGTGTGCTCGGAGCCTTGTTTTGCATTTCAAGAGACTCTCGGTCTCCTGACCTGTCCCGTGGCCTTGGGTTCTAGTAGAATGGCATCAACCAATCAGCATTCGAGCCTCTCACCCTAGAAAAGCAGCTGTCTTTGGATTTTTCGCTCTCTCTCTAAGCTTTCTCTCGTCCCTGCTCTATCTTCCCTTCCCCCAATTTTCCTCAATCAAAGGGCTTCAAATAAAGACGTGACCAGGGAAGGAATTCTCGTTTTTTAGTGGCGTTCATTCCTGCTGGTCAGGATGCGCGTCGCAGTCAAGGTTCTCTGGGATTGTAAATTGTAGGCTGTTTTCTTTGCTTTATTTCTAAAAGCTGCTTATGAGTGAGTACATATGATATTTGTCTTTCAGGGTCTAGGTTACCTCACTCAGTATGTTTTCTAGATCCATCCATTTGCCTGCAAATCTCAAGATGCCATTATTTTTTCTGCTGTATAGTACTCCATAGTGTAAATGTACCACATTTTTCTTATCCATTCTTCAGTTGAGGGGCATTCAGGTTGTTTCCAGGTTCTGGCTATGACAAACAATGCTGCTATGAACATAGTTGAGCACATCTCCTTGTGGTATGATTGATCAACCTTTGGGAATATACCCAAAAGTGGTATTATTGAGTCTTGAGAAAGGTTGTTTCCTAATTTTCTGATTGGTATCCAAAGGCGCTGTACCAGTTTGCATTCCCACCAGCAATGCAGAAGTGTTCCCTTTACCCCACATCCTCTCCAGCATAAGGTGTCATCAGTGTTTTTGATCTTGGCCATTCTTACAGGTGTAAGATGGAATCTCAAAGTTGTTTTGATTTGCACTTCTCTGATGGCTAAGAATGTTGAACATTTTTTTAAGTGTCTTTCTGCCATTTTAGATTCCACTATTGGGAGTTCTCTGTTTAGCTCTGTACCCCATTTTTTTTTTTTACTGGATTATTTGTTTTTTTGATGACCAATTTCTTGAGTTCTTTCTATATTTTGAAGATCAGTCCTCTGTCTAATGTGGGGTTGGTGAAGATCTTTTCCCATTCTGTAGGCTGCTGTTTTGTCTTGTTGACCGTGTCCTAATGGACCAAAGAACTCAACATAAAGCCAACCACACTGAACCTAATAGAAGAGAAAGCAGGAAATACACTTGAACACATTGACACAAGAAACCACTTCCTAAGTATAACCCCAGTAATACAGACACTGAGAGAAACAATTAATAAAATGGGACCTCTTGAAACTGATAGGCTTCTGTAAAGAAATACATAATTTTTAAAAATTAACATACATTATAAGTAGGGACTATGTGGTGTGCACAAGTCAGTTAAAGATGAGTTTTTTTGTTTTATGTTAAAGCAGGTAAAAAGGTTATGTTTCTTGTAGTTCTTCTAAGTTTCTTTCTTTCTTTCTTTTTTTTAAATGTCTGTAGCCAGGGTTTCAGGGGTTTTTCGCCTAACCAAACTTGATTTTCTTTAAACTGGAATGAATTCATAGCCTCTCATTTCCTTTGGAAATAAAAGCATAACCTTTTCCCACAAAGAAACACACCTTTTGATTTAAATTTTGAAATCAAGGTATTTTTTAAATATATGGGTTGGTTTACTCTAGCAGTTCTTATAATTCAGTATGTCTTAGCAGTTGTCATTTCTTTATTAGCAATAAAGAAAATTAGCAATCAGAAAATCCAAAGACAGCACAATAACATACAGACTCCAGACTCTGTGTATGTTTCATCTTTACATGGCTTTTTAAATTTTACTTTACTCCCTTTCACTGGGAAGATCACTGGGAAGACAACAGCACTGTCATGATGTGAATGGTACAGAAGACATTGTGCAGGGACAGGCCTGTGGAAACTGGAGTGTGACTTACTGTTTCACAGACATAGCCCTTGGGTGGAACCACTGTTTGCTTTTTGAAATTTTTTTCTAAACGTTCCATATAATGATAAAAACGGTCCTTTTAAATCAATTATCACTTCCTGGGTGCAGTTCTCCCCATGTGTAGGTTTGCACAGGTAAGGCATGCAAGGGTAGCATTGATATACACTCAGACAGTGCGTACCTAAGACGAGCCAGAACATTTGCCAGTTTGGTCAAGGGTGAAGCTGGTGATGGGATGCTGATGGGCACAATCACAGGCTGTCGATGTGGGAGGAAGGGGACACTGGACACTTGACCCTCACCATCCTGCTTCTAAGCACCGTCAGCTCCCTTCTTGGTGAAGGAGTGATGTGTGGGAGGAAGAGAGATGGGGCGCGAGAGAGAGACGGAAAGATTACTTTAGTGGAGCTGTCTACATACACCGGAGCTTAGGAAAGAAGTGCGAGCCCAGAAGGATGACCTAGTGCAGAGGGAGCGCAGCAGCTGTTTACATACACCAGGGGAGGGGAGGCAGTGTCTGCTTCACGAACCTTGCTCTTAGGGTATAAGCAAAGAGATGTTAGTGTAACAAGTGTGGTTTAGGCTGAACTATAGATGGTCATTTCTCAGCTTTCTAGAAGCCCTAAGTCTGAGGTCCAGAGCCAACAGATTGCTGTGTGGCAAGGCCACTTTCTGGTTTCGGTTGTGGTCTTCTCCTGTTCCCTCACATGGTTCTCTTCTCCAGGTATGATTTTGTCATGAGACCTCTACTCCAGCAGCCTCTTTCTTACAAAGGTCTACTTCAAATACAGTCACAGTAGGACTAAGGTTCTCAGCGTAAGAATTTGGGGAGGATGCAAATTATAGTCGTTCCATAACAAAAACAAAAGGTTCTGGACTGACTTTACCAGTACCTTGTATTGTCAGTTTAAGTGATCAAGTTATCTACATGATTTTTCAGTTTTCAGTTGTTGAAGGAGGGCTTTAGGATAGTTCTCTAATGATCTCTTGTCTCTAAACAGTATCTGATTCTATGATCTGTTTTTTCTTTGCACAAAAATGGTTAATTCATTTATATCTGATAATTCCACTCAATAAAAGATTGTGTTTCTCTTATGAACCCTGTTAGCTATGCTTTAAATATCACCAAATTAGCCTGTCTCTAAGTTGTCTCCTTTGACGAGTTTGCGCACAAAGGTGCAGCTGCACAGACATCACTAACGTCCAGTTCCCCGTGTGCCCAGTTGAAGTGCATTTCTCATTATTCCTGGTTCCAGGCAGCTACCAATCTGCTTTGCTCTTCTAATTTTGTCATTTTGTTTGCTTTTTCTAGAAGCGTCATACAATGGCTTCTCTTATTTAGCATACTAGCTTTGAGATTCGTCCATGTTGCAAATAGCTTGTTCTCATGTATTAACATTGTGCTCCTCCTTGTGTCTGTATACCTCATTAGGTATTAGTTGATAAAATTAAATGGTTTTCATTTGAAGCTGAATGAGTAGTGAGTGACCATTTGTAGTCTTTCTGTGGGCATGGCTTCTTTCCTCCTGCATAGATAACTCTTATAAATTACCAAGCTGTCTCAAGTTTGTCTGTTTCATATTTCTGCCTTTCATATATGAAGTTCTGACTTTCCCACATGCTTTCTGATACTTAATGTGTAGTCTATATTATTGACTGCAGCCATTCATCAGAGTATGTAGTGATACATCCATATAGTTTTAATTTCATTTCTCTAAGAATGAATGATATCACATTAAGTCCACATTGTTCTTGTTCAAATGGTGTTGTTGCCACAGCTTGAAACAGTTTTTGGAACTCTGTATTCCAGATTTGCTGGTACCGTTACCAGCCACATAAGGAAATCTATTTTATTGCCTATTGGTGCCTATTTTGCTTCCATGCTTTCTCTCCCTTTTCTTTCATCGTTTACGTAGATTTTACTAAGGATATGCACAGTGTTACATGTGTGCTATACATTGAATATATACATCTGACTTCAAGGCCAAGACTATGGGTGGAAATTTAGGCTACTGAGTGTCCAGATCATAATTGAGGCAGAAAGGATCTGATAATCCACAGAGAGAAAACTGAGTGAGTCCTGCTTGAGGAAATTTGAGGAATGTGCTGAGGTGCGGAATCTAAGAGGTCCTGAAGGAGCCTTGTAAACACTCTGCTAGCTAATCACTTATTTGCGGTTATCACGCTGTCTGGAATGCCTGTTTCTAAAACTATTCCATTATTGTTTAAAGAGCATATACGTGTGTTTATAGAAATTGAATCTCTAAGTTCAGTGGAAATCTGTAATATTTTTTCTTTTGAATCATTTAAATAATTATTACTTGGCATTTAGTTTTTCCTCCAGAATAATATAGTTTTCTAACCTAAGTTTTACTAATTTTTTTCATTACTCTAGTACATGGTTTGTTATTGTTGTATACATTACAAATACTAACTTTATGAGAGTCACACCAAATACATGCTGTGTTTTCATTCCTAGGCAAATACTGTGGTCTGGGTTTACAAATGAATCGGTCAATTGAGTCCCAAGGCAGTGAAGTCACAGTGCTGTTCATGAGTGGAATCCATGCTTCTGGACGAGGATTTTTTGCTTCATACTCAGTTATAGATAAACAAGGTAATTTTCGCCTTATACTGTAGCTCTCACATTTTGTCATTTCTTTACAGCAAATACCTGTTACCTGACATTGGAGTAGAACAGGAAAACTGAACAACTAATAATGCCCAAAAAAAACAGAAGGGTCAGGGTCTACATTCTGAAAAGTGTCTGGATTAATTTCTGTCTACGTACTTTCATTTCCTTGGTAGAAAAAAAACACTAATTTTTCACTTTTGTGATATCAGAACACAAACTATCAAAATTTTAAAAGAAATCTGTGAAACGTTGAGGTAAAAGGTATCAACCTAAAGGTTTATTATCTACAAGTTATAATTTCACAATTCTATACCAAAGGTCAATTGTTGTTTACAAAGACTTGGCTCTCATATTACCAAGAGATTCCCAAGAGTGCTGAGATGAAACATAATAAAGTTTTTCTTATTGTTAATGTTTAGGATTTAAAGGGGTTATTAAATGGAATAAAATTCAAAATTTAGTTGAATCTCTTACATAAAATGCATTACCTGTAGAGATCTGTCAGGTGCTTTTACTACTGTGGCTTTGTATCTCATCTCTGTTATTTGAGGTACTGTGAAAAGGACTTCTCAGAAGTGGTGTTATTAGAAGGGTTATGAAAACAGGCCTTTGCATTAGAAAATAAATGATTGTTCTTATGTTCAACAGTAAATATTCTAAGTTGGCTGTTTAAATGTAAATATTAGCTTTTGCTTCAGGCCATTTGGATGAAAAACTGTCAAGACCCTCCTAGGTATGAGACTGATGAGCTCTGGAACTACTGAGGGTGCTGCCAGCTTTCCCTCTTAAGCTAGGGTGACTTTGAGATGAATACTATTTCCCTAAGAGTGTCATTTAGAACCTTTACATGAAGGAAAGAGTTGTGTCTACTTGGAAGGGAATCTACTTTCTCATAGATTGTAAACTATGGGCAAGATGGAAAGCTAACAAACTCAGAGACAATGAGAAAGGTTTAGCTCATTTATATGAAATAATGTGGGAAAAAGAATTAGAAGTGTAAAGTTAAATGAATGGATGTTTTGACAGAGTAGGAAAATAAAGATGGAGTTCTATCATGGGAAGGGCACTAGGTAGATCTCAATTGATACTGGTTTCCGGTTGGGTGTGGGAACTCACAATGTAATCTAGCACTCTGGAAACTGAAGCAGGACAGGAGGAGGACCACAGATTTTGAGGCCAGCTGGCCCTCTTTCAAAAACCAAAATTAAAAAATAAATAGATAAACAAGCAAATAAATAAATCAGCAGGCAAGCCTGCTTCTGTATGTGCCTACTAGGATAATCTCTGTCATGTCAGCTCACCGCCATGTGTTCTGTCTGTGGGGGTGTCTATAGACAAGGCACAGAGACACAGTATCACCCCATCCCACATTATGAATACATATTTCCATTTCCCCACTATCTAGTCGGTGATGTAAAGAACACAGACGTAAGAACTCTCTTGCTTTCACCACCTGCTGTGGGCGTCTCAGGTTGACAGGTGAGAAGGTTGAAAAGTGGCAGTTGGTTGTACTTCTCACTTGCCTGAGTTTTTTGGGTTTAAATTCTCATTTTGATTCCTTTTTTCCCAGTTTTCTCCTTCTACTGATCAAGTTCAGGGTTCCTGGAAAATAAATGTCTGCTGTTTATTATAAAAGGTGTTTTACGTTAAGTGTTCAAATCATGGATTGTTGTTTCTCCCTTGGAAACTTGATGTCCTTACAGTAAAGTTTATTAAAGAATTGACCCTGGTGTCAGATAAGAGTCTCGGATGTTCTCAGCGATCTCACACAGAGTCAGCACAAATGAGAGATAGACTTTAGCAACTTCTTGAAACTAACACATCCCAAAGTGACAGTCTTGAGAAACGCCATTTCCCAACTGACTTCCAGTGTCATGGGTTTTTGGCATGCCCTGTCCAATTTGTCAGGCATTTGTTTAATTTGACTGAAGTTAGTTGGCTAAGACACATTCTAGGAAACACTGGTCGAGTTTCTTATTGCTTCTTGGGTGGCCTCTCAGTCACATTTTTTTTTTTTCCTAGTAACTCATTTGTTCAGAGGCTGTTTGACTTTGGTTGAGATTTCTGTTTCCATCCAGGAAATTTAACTGCCACTATGAATTCCTGAAATACCTGGAAGGATCAGTGCTACATGTCCCTCACTTAGGAGTCTAGTTGAAATTCAGAGTAAAAGGGATTAAGATGTGTGAACAGGGTTGTTTGAGCAGCTATTTCTTCCTTTCTTATACTTTCCCACAAAGATTTGCTAGTGTTATGTTGTATGTTAAACTACACACACACACACACACACACACACACACACACAATATATATATATATATTATATGGAGTCATGGTTTTGTATAAGATATATTTTATATCAGAGCCCATGCAAAGTTCTGTTTCTTGCCATTTTCTGCTCTAGATTGGTAGAATGACCTGACTAGGTTTGTATTGTGTTTGTGTTAGTTTCTCTTTGTTGCTCTCTGAGAAGCAGATAGAAGAGAAATAAGATATTGTAGGACGGCCAGGGAAGAGGCTGTTAGAGGAGACCAGATGGTTAAATTCGGAGGCCGTGTGATACAAATACTAGAGTAATGTCTGTTTGTAAAGACCTTGCACTTAGACTCGTCTGCAGATACACTCTTCAAAGAATTAGGATTCATTTTCCTTGTGATTTAAATTATAATGAGAGGCTTTACTCAAGGTGAAGTTCTCTTGAATGGCATCCAGAATTATCCATGCCCAGGTCATGCTGGGACCTTTTCTTTTACGTTTGTTTCTTGTTTTTAAAACATCTCAGGATGTTATCCCCTTCCCTGTTACTTTTAATTATTGGTGAGTGGTAGTTACCATCCTTTATATATGTATATATATATATATATATATATATATTCTTTGACATCAAAAGAAGAATCATATCTACTGTGAAAAAACAGGTTCCTGTTTTCTGCCTTTGGTGGCAAGCAAACAGAAATGCTTAGGGTGGGGGCACTGCAAAGTCTGAGAGAGACGTATGAGTTACTTCTCTGTGATAAAATACCATGGCCAAAACATCTTGCAAAAGAAAGGCTTTATTTGGATTTAGGTTTCCAGAAGGACAGGGACGAAGTGCGTGGTGACAGAGCAGAGGTAGGGCAGCTGGAACTGGAAGCTGAGAGCTTCCACCTTCCTGAAGGAGAAAGGCATTTGTTTTAGCTAAAAGTTCCAAGTTGCTGCAGGCATGAAGCAGAGAGAGCACAGTCAAAATGGCACAAGTCTTTAAACTCCCAGAGTCTGCCTTCAGTGACATTCCTCCCCCAAGTTCAGAGTTCTTAAAACAGCATCTCCAATTGGGGACCAAGTATTCAAATACCTGTGATCATTTAAACCAGCCAGGCATCAGGGCATTGCTACTGTAAATTGGCATAATCACATCTAATTCCAGCTGGACTTTCTGAAAGCTTGTGAGCCCTTGAGGCATGAGCAAGCATATGATCAAGCACTAATGAAAACTCCTGAGGTCAAAACCAGCCTCTCAGAGTTCGTGACTCAGTAACTCAGATCTTTCAGTCAAGCTTGATAATAAATGCTATTTTCATAAATAAATTTCAATTTGAAAACACCATTTAGTGCTGAAGAGATGGCTCAGCAGTTAAGAACACTTATTATTTCAGAGAACTCCAGGTTGATTCCCAACCTCCACAGTGGCTCATACATGTTTCTAATACCAGTTCCAGGTGATTCAACACTCTTTTGAGACCCCAGGGCAAGAGGCATGCGTGGGATTTACATAGATACATGCAGGAAAAACACTTGTACACATAAATTTAATTAAAACCAGCATTTAATTGGACTTAAAAAATAAAATGAATTTTGCAGATGTGTGATCTAAATTTCTGTTTTTGAATCTATTCAACCCTGGCCAGTTTCTAGAAGGATTCTCATCAGGGGATTTTAGACATTTTTGCTATATAGCAGTGAACTTATATACACATTGAAACCTTCAAATCCTTCAAGGCAGCATTCATTTGTGTGTTCCATGGCTGTGTATGGGTGGCTATATACAACCAGAATTGAAAAATGGTAATTCTCCAATTTTAGAAAATATTTAGGCACATTTTAGAAAATATCAAATCAAAACTTTAAAAAAAATGCCGCATTATTTAAAGGAAATACTAAAGGTCTTACCAACCCAGAATTTTGGAATGGACAGCCTAAATTTGCCTTTATTTTTCTGGAGGAAATTAGTAAACAGTAAATTTCTTGAGACACAGAATGATCCCATGGGGATATGCATTTTCTTTTTAGTGTGAAGTCACAAACACATGTTCATTTGCTGCCTCCACCCTAGAATTTGCTGACAGTATACCTAAAACTTTTGAACAGCTGGGCCTGAAAACACCCATCTGAGGGTCACTGCTGCAGTATGTTGAAGTATTTTTAGAATCAACACAATGTAATAAAATTTTCCTGATTTACTGTCTTTAACTACTATTTTTGTGAGTGTTTCCATTTCTTTCATTTTCCATTATAATATGTAAACCTGTGACACACAGGGCAGAATAGATAGGTTTTTTTTTTTCTGATAGAGTTTGAGTTTCTGTTGCTGATTAATTTTTCTTCTTCGTGAAATGTTTTTGGTTTTGAATGTAGGGTGTGAGTTTTTCAGATCATTTGCTGCCTTGACAGCAGTGACGACACAGAATCTGTCTTGTGTCAGATTTGGCTCTTAGCCCCATTTCTATTTGTAATTTCCTCTCTGTGTTTTTAGTTTTTACTGTTTTTGTATCTGACACACATTTTAAAACTTTGAATCTGCCATGCGGTGGTGGCGCACACCTTTAATCTCAGCACTAGGAGGCAGAGGCAGGCGGATCTCTATGTGTTCAAGGCCAGCCTGGTCCACAAGAGCTAGTTCCAGGACAGGCTTCAAAGCTACAGAGAAACCCTGTCTTGAAAAACCAAACCAAAACAAAAATAATAAATAAAATAAACTCTGAATCTATTGACTGACTCTTGGT